GCAAGGAAGCTACTAGGGGCTCCTGGCATCGTTACTGGGAGCAAGGACGCTACTCCTGGCCTTACTACTTGGAACAAGAAGCTACCAGGGGCTCCTTGCGTCGCTACTAGGAGCAAGGAAGCTACTAGGGGCTCCTGGCATCGTTACTAGGAGCAAGAAGCTGCTAGGGGCTCCTGGCCTCCTTGCATCGCTACTAGGAGTAAGGATGCTAATAGGGGATCGATTCTCGGCTGTTCAGGAGAAGATCGAGCACGATTTGCTCTTTTGGCAAACGATGAAGGGCGAAGCAGAGCCTGACAGGGTGACGCTAGCAACTTGGCAAGTCATTTTTGGACCTCAAATAGCCACAGACATTGCGCATATGGAGAGACTTCGGACATGACCAGTTCACTTATAGGGATACCTATCAAAAAGACAATTAGTTCCTATCAAAAAGAAAAATGATTCCTATCAAAAAAGAAATTCGTATCAACAATAAAATTTCCCCCTACTCCTTTGGTCCTGGTCTGCTGGTTCCTGGTTGCTTGGTCCTTTGGTCCCTTGGTCCTCTGGTCCCTTGGTCCCCTCGTCCCTTGGTCCCTCTGGCCCCTTGGTCCTCTGGTTCTTTGGTCCTCTGGTCCCTTGGTCCTCTGGTCCCTTGGTCCTCTGGTCCTTCGTCCTGGTCTTTGGGTCCTTGGGTCTGTACTTTCGAGGCGAGACGCGTTAAAGGTGATTTGGAAATCTGGTCATACATCCTGTGAAGCACAGTAGCAGACCTTCTATCGCCAGACGTAGCACACCTTTTTTGTGAGCCACCCTGAAGGTAAAATTTAGACTAAGAAAGTGCCGTTCCAAGGTAGCAAACCTGTTGTGAGCCACCTGAGGGCCAAATTTTGAAGAGGAAGGAGCCATTCCAACGTTGCAGACCTTTTGTTGCCTTGCGAGGTCAAAACTTAGAGGAAGAAGTTGCCATTCCAACGTAGCAGGCCTTGGTTTTGTGAGCAACCCGAGGGTAGAACTGGCTATTCCAACGTAGCAGACCTTTTGTGAGCCACCCGGGGTTAAACTTTAGGTGCCGCGCCAAGGTAGCAGACCTTTTGCGAGCAAAATTTAGAGGAGCAGTAGACCTTTTGTGAGCCATGCGAGGGCAAAATTTACAGGAGCAGACCTGTTGTCAGCATAAACTTTAGAGGAGGAAGGTGCCATTCCAACATAGGAGACCTTTTGTGAGCCATCCACAGGTCTTGTGGTTTTGTGAGCCATCGTGAAATTCAGACAGATCACGGTTGAGATGCAGAGAGGTCTACATCTACAAAGATCCAGAGGCCTGGAGATCCAGACGGATCTGCAGGTGTAGAGGCCTAGAAACCCACAGACCTAAAGATGGAGGCTTAGAGGTCTTGAGTCTTGAGATCCAGGGAGGTGTTGAAATCTAAGTTCTATACTTGCAGAGGGTGTAGAAGGATGTTCAGATCCAGAGATATCAAGAGCTCTTTTCACAGGTCTTCAGATCCACAGAATTTTACAAACGCCACGGAAACTGCACTACAAGGTTCGCAATCGCTGCGTTTGCCGCGAAGTCTGCGCTTATAGACGGAGGTTCACGCAATCTGCACTTCGAGGTTCACGAAGTGCTGCGCCTGCCATGAAATCTGCAGTTCCGGTGCACAAAGTGCTGCGCCTGCCACGAGCCCTGCAACTGAAGGTGCTCAAAGTGCTGCGTACAAAGTGCCGCTCCTGCCACGAAACCTGCTACATGGAGGTGCTCAAAGTGTTGTGCCTGCCACGAAATCTGCATTTCCAATGCGCAAAGTGCCGCTCCTGCCACGAAACCTGCTACTGGAGGTGCTCAAAGTGCTGCGCCTGCCACGAAATCTGCAGTTCCAGTGCACAAAATGCCGCTCTTGCCACGAAATCTGCTACTAGAGGTGATCAAAGTGCTGCGCAGGCCACGAAATCTGCAGTTCCAGTGCACAAAGTGCCGCTCCTGCCACGAAATCTGCCACTGGAGATGCTCAAAGTGCTGCCCGCGCCACGAAAGCTGCACATCCAGATTCACATCGCGCAGTGCTGCCAAGGCGGTTTGCAGTGGCAGGCGCAGCTCTTTGTGAGAGATATTTTGTTTTTGATACAAATTAATTTTCTTTTTGATAGGATGTAGAAATTTTCTTTTTGATATATATATATCAATTTTCTTTTTGATAGCCCGGCCTTCACTTATATGGTTCCAGCAGATGAGTTCACATGGATAGTCTTGTATGAAGAACCAAGGTATCGAAAGCAGTAGCACGGCTTTGGGCAGCCAAGCCCTCTGACGGGCGAAAGGCCAATGATTGCAGAACAATCATCAGTATTTCCATTGTTAAGACTAGGCTTGAGCCTTGTAGAAAGAATCCGTTTTTGAAGCATTTGAGAAACAGCCCCACGTGTGGTAGAAGATTGTCGGGCCCAGAATGTGAATTCTGCACAGGTTGCCTGGGTGCGACTTGGCGTTTTCCTGTTTGAGCAGCTCCCAAAGGCCGCCAGCGGATCACCCTTGACTTGCACATAGGCCATTGTAGGCCGATATTTTGCAACACCAGTAATCAATGAGGTGTTCAAAACGATGTTTGATGCATGGAATGGTTTTATGTGGCCTGTGATTACGTGATCAAGCCTGGGTGAAATGTCAGGGCCTCCTGAGCGGAGTAGCCTCTTGCCGGTGGCGTTTGCATGCAGAGGTGAACATAATATCTGACAGGATGCGAGATTCACAGAAGTAAAGGAAGAAAGAAAGGCAGCGTACAAGATCTAAAGGTAAAAAAAAGAAAGAAAAGGATAAGGAACAAGTATTTGCAGTACTTCTTGTGGCAAAAAGAGAACAGGTCAGGAAGACGCACTTGCTTTGCATGCGCTTTCCGCCAGGGTGTTCAGATTCTGGCCCCAATCTTGGGAACTCGCCAGGTTGAGCTGGAGCTTTGTCCTCAAAATGAAACGGAATGCGGTAGGAAGACTGTGCTACTGGAATCGGGGCAAACTTCACCAAGGCCTGCCCTGATGGAGCATGTCCTAAGCTACTTGGCGGAAGAGATTGGTGTTGGTGTGTCGCTGGAAGAAGAAGAAGAAGAAGAAGCTATTCGGTGATTTCCTCCGCCAAGGGGGGCAGGGCAGAGCAGAAAATGTCAAAGCTAGGTTGCGATCACCGACAAGCCACGTTGACAGAAGGTGGGAACTGATGAGAATTCGTGCTCAAGCGCTTGGAGTGCTCTATATGCTTCGTCCGAAGTGCTTGTCAGGGATGCCATTGGCAAATGCAGTGGCACGTGGTGCTAGGGGCCGACAAACCGAGCATCACCATGCTGCTTGGTGGCAGGAGAGATATGATTGCTCTCAGCCTTTGGAAACAGAGAACTGTGGGGCAGAGAATTCCCATAATCGACGTAAAATCGTCTTTCCTTGGGATCAGGACATAGAGTCATAGAGATCCTGTTTGTTGCTTTTCCTTTGTTTTCCGGATGGTTTCATCTACAACTACGATGTTGTTTTAAGAGGCATTTGGAGCAAAACTGAACCTGGAGTAGAATGTGACCACGGGATTAATTAGTAAATAAGAATTATGTTATGCTTCATTTGTGCCTGAGACTTGATTTGCTTTGGCCGCTTTGGCAATTCCATAGAAGATTCTTTTTCTTTTGGACCCACTATTTACTACTTGTACAGGACTTAGGTAACTAAATAGCAATAATAGGCAATCATGACATGTTTAGGCACAGTACAAACCATGCTGATCAAGCGCCCTGGGATGTCGCTGTAACTCTGGCAATATCGACAGTGTGAACCGCGCTTCAAGCTGCAACACTGCAACACCTTGCTGCCGCAGGTTTGTGGTGGCGTCCTGGTTTGTATGGGAAAGAATTGGTTTCCCGGAGTATTGACTCCCAAACAGCAGCTTGGTTGCGCTTGTGTGGCAGCAGTGTCCAGGAGTCGTCACATTGGCTCCGCTTCCATGCATCAAACGTTTGCTTGCGTTGCGATGCCTTTGCAGTTGCTTAGTGAAGTTGAGGTTGAGAATATTGGTGGACGATGACACCGCTGAGGCTACATGTGTAGCTTTGTGCACAACATTGGGTGTTTCTAAAGACGTTGCTGCCTGGCAGAAAAGCCACAAACGTAGGTGAAAGATTGTCAAAATCAATCAAACTCCAAGAGCAGACTAAAACCACTGAGTCCTTCCCCAACTTCTTTGATCTTGTTTGCGCAGAGGCCATTCTGGAGCAATTGTCCCTGCAAATGCCACCAGCACCAGCTGTACCAGCTATCGTGACTGTGCCAGCAGTGCGGTGTCCCTAGTTTCTTCTATAAACATCTGCTGACGTGTGGCATGCCATGCCATTTAATTTGAAGTAGAAGAAAACTCTGTCCTAACCATTGACCGTAGCCTTGGTCCATGCTTGCAACTGCTTGGGCAATTCTACGCTTGTCTTGACGCACAGTTCATTGAAGTTCAAACATGTGACGTGTCAAGAAGCTGGAGTGAAGGCGGGCGGGGGCCACGGAATTGGACACCACAACACCACAACCCGGTGGGCGCTTGCAACTGCAATCATTTTCTAGCAGCCGCCCTGTGCATTGCTGGTCATTGCTTTCACAGCTACAGCTGGACATTGCACTTCTATTCAGCAGAGCATGGCCTCGAGCATGCCGACGGGCATGACATCGCCAAGGATGACCTCGTGCGGATCCCCGTGTTTGACAGACAATCGCTAGGTGCTTGGTGCTTGGTCTCGTCAGCCTCCTGAATTCTTTTGCTCAAGAGAAGGACCCTGGTGACCCTCCTGAAAATCCTGAAAATACTTTAACCATCAGACTTGACTGAACAGTCTGCCAAGTCTCATCAGAGTTGGCCCAGGTCCAGCCAGGACAGCAAGCGAACCTCCCGGCCGCGGAACTCGGTAGCTGAGGCCAAGAGGGTGAAACAGCTTTTTTTCGTGTTGAAACGTTTATATAAGCATGTTACCTAATAGCAGCAATGGCCTCCAACCTAATAGCTTGCTCATGTCTTTGTTGAGGTTTGACGTTTGATATGTTGATTCAGCTTTTCAACTTACGACATTCTTAGATTGGCATTGACAAAACCCGTGACACGTGAGGCAGGTGCACAGTTCATCAAGCTTTTGGATCGGTGACAGTGGACCAAACCTTCTCCGCTAAATTGTACATATTCAGCTACAGCAACAAGAAGCTAGTAGTAACAAGTGTCACGCTACTAGTAACAAGTGCCTTACTAGTAGTAACAAGAAGCTGTATATAGTTGAAGCTTTTAGATTTGTATTTCGCTTCTTGTTTTTAATAGCTTCTTGTTACTACTAGTAAGGCACTTGTTACTAGTAGCGATGCACTTGTTACTAATAGCTTATTCGATGGTATCAGAAAAGAACGGTGAAACTAACCTGACAAGGTTGTCACTGCTGCCATAAAGGGCGAAGAGGGAAGCGACTCGATCTGTGAGGAGTTCTTGGCTAGTTGCATTTTTTTGCAAGGGTTGCGCGGGAAGTGGGAATACACGAATGCATGCAATTTTCTTTGGCATTTGTGTAGCTTGCAAGATAGCAACTCCACAAAACTGAAAAGTATCCAACATATTCTATTCGCACAAGCAAAATGAGGCATTTGCCAGCCGTTTTTGTTGCCGGAAGCCACCATTGACAAAGTGAGAAGTTGAAATTCCCGTCAGGGTCATGGAGGTTTTTGAGTGGAATCTGTGGAATGAAAGCCAGTTTGTATCATGGTTGATGCAGTTGAACTGTTACTTGTAGAACTGGTCAAGTGGACCACGCCGAATTGATTGCCCTTGCAGCCCACTGGCGTATCAAAACTCAAGTCTGAGGCCTCTCCAACATCTTTGCCGGCGAGTCTGATTATTTGGGACAGAGCACTGGTGGCCTGGACAGGCCGGTATTCGCCTGGAAATGCCAAGCTTCAAGTAGTTTTGATTCTCAGCTTCGCTTTGCGGAGGGAAACCTTGCGCAAAAGGATCCTGCCAGACACTTACTGAAAGAAGAAACATATATATATATATATGGGCTCGTGAACTTTTCGGGGCCCCCTGGGAAGCAATTCATGTTCAATCATCTGATCCAAATGTCTCAAACCCTTCAACTATTCATCTGATCCAACTATATCATCTGATCCAACTAGTTCATCTGTGTACACATATATCCTTTGCAAACATATCAACCATTTACCTCAACATATCTAACTTGTGACACTCAGTGGAGGGGGGG